TCACTACATTAGTTTGTCCCGCCCCCTACAGCTTGGCTGCCCCTGCCCCAAACCCCCAGACCCAGACTTCCTGCTGCTATCAGCCTCAAGTCTTAAGATTAGGGATTTACATCCCCGCCCCACCCCCTAGGGATGGGGCCAGGTGAAGACCCCAGAGGCCTTAGAGAGGATCTCCTTGCCCCACCCTGTGACCCCACCTCGTTTTGGTCTCCTCTCTGCCCCCTCCCCCAGTCCATCTTCTACCCTGCTCTGCCTCATCCACCGCCTGCCCCAGCCACGGAGGCTCTGCCAGGAGAAGCCTCCAGGGGGTTAATTTGCTGTCATCTAATTAGCATTTGTTGTACCTGGGGACTCTCTCTGGATAGAGACCTGGGGAAGCTGGGTGGGGGGCGGGAAGGGGAGAGTGGAGGTGCTCTGGGAGGGCCCAGTTTCCCCCCCCACCCTGACCTGGGCCCCTCCAGGCCTTGGCTCTCTTGGTGCAGGACCCTTTAGCCAGTTTCTGGGGCTGGGAAGATGGGGAGCAAGGAAACACTGTGTGTACAAGGCGGGCTGGGGAGGAGGCAACAGTTCTGGTCCTGGGCCCTCGTCCTCAGCCTCCTGGGCTTGAATCTGATTGCAGCGGGGCTGGTGGCCATGTGGCCTTGCGGGACCAGCCTTGGAGCCCTGGCCCAGCCCCTGCCTGGATGGTGGGGTGTCCGCGGACCTGTGTTGGGGGGCAGTTCTGGGCCCTGACTTGGGCACTGTCCGGAGGTGGGGTGGGGCCTGGCTTCTTACAAGAAGGCGCCCACGCTGGCCCAGTCCTGCAGGTCGGAGGCCAGGGTGGTGTCCCCGGCCTCAAAGAGGGGCTCCGGGGGCAGGCAGCCGCTGCCACTCTCGTCCCAGGGGTGCTGCAGGAAGGATGTGGCCAGGAAGGTCTCGTCGAAGTCCAGGCTGTCGGCAGCCTGCTCCACCGAAGGCCCCCAGGTGGCGGGGCAGTCGATGTGGCGGCCGTGGACAGTGAGGTCCACATCCACGTTCGAGGCGGGGCTCAGTGGTGGGCTCAGCTCCAGGGCCCCCAGAGCACCCAGCTCCCCGCCCAGAGTGCCGGCGTCGAAGATGGCCTCCCAGTCAAAGTTGCCTTTGAGGGGTTCCAGCTCACCCTGCTCCTCTGGGGTGGGCAGCAGGGTGCTGAGGGGCCGCGGGACCTTGGTCACCCGCTTGGGCAGGGGCTGTTTGCGCTTATGCCCCAGCCTGCCCTCGCCCGCACCCCAGCCCGCCTCCCCAGTGGCCTCCTCGAACTCCCGCAACAGCTGCTGGGCCTCTGTGTTCACCGTCAGCGGCCTGGCCTGGGGGACAGTGCTGGGCTCCTGCGCGGCCTGGCGGGCAAAGGCCGGGTGGATGTGGACCGGGGGCAGTCGCCGCTTCTTGAAGGCCCCGCTCAGCAGCCGCTCCGCGTACTGGGGGTCGATGCGCCAGAAGCCCCCCTTGCCTGGCTCATCCTTCTCCCGAGGCACCTTGATGAAGCACTTGTTCAGAGACAGGTTGTGGCGGATTGAATTCTGGGCATAGGGAGAGAGCCAGACAGAAAGAGGAACCGCTGGGTCAGTGGGGACAGGGCAATGAAGTGGCACCTAGCCCTCCTGCACACCCCCATCTTCTCTCCGGCAGGGGAGGGGAGAGGGGGACAGATATGCTGCTTTGCCCAGGCGGCTTCGGCTCTGGGACACCAGCCACAGGGCACTGGGAGCCCGGAGTGCTGTCGGGGGCTTTTGTTCCCTGTTGCCGGGATATCTGCCTGCTCAGTCATCCGAGCTCTGAGCCGCAGGGTGGCTCTCCGTGCCACCCCCATCGCCTGCCCTCCCTCCCTCACCCTGCTGCTCACAGCCTCTGGCCAAAGCCCTCCGCTCCCCCAGGGCCTGGACTGCCATCTCCTTCTGCCTGGGCCTGGCTGGCCCTCTCTGTGAGTGAATGGGTCCAGGGAGGGGGCTGGGCAGCCAAGGATGGTGGCGGGGGGGGGGGGGGGGGGGGGGGCGGGGAGAGAGAGAGAGAGAGAGAGAGAGAGAGAGAGAGAGAGAGAGAGAGAGACAGAGAGAGAGAGAGAGAGAGAGAGGAGAGAGAGAGAGAGAGAGAGAGAGAGAGAGAGAGAGCCAGCGAGCGTATGCAGGGATGAGGGGTGTAGGATCTGATGACTTTCCCTATTTGTTGAGCTGGCTGCTGGCCTGGGCCTTCACCCCCCAAGGCCCCCTCCCCCTACTCTAGGCTCAGTTGATTATTACCCAGCCAAGAGCCAGGAGCATAGCACTCATTCCTGGGGCTGGTTTCCTGAAGCCAAAGCTGAACAGGCTTAGGGTAGGGTGGGGCTGAGGGTCCCTGCTTTTTGCTGTGGCTAAAATGACACTGCTCTAGGGTCAGGGGGCATTTGAAATGGCTTGGGACTGTGGTCCTGTGGCCTGCCCACTTTGGGTGCTTCAGGGAAGAGTCTGGGCATCCTTGGGGGGCCTCTGTTACCAACTAGCCCTTGATGGTGATGGCTGAAGACGGAGCAATGTCCACCCAGCCTCAAATCCACCATCCTCCTGCCTTGTCCATTCTTATGTGTTTCATCTTGTCCAAAGCCTGCTGGGGCCCAGGGTCCTGGGCTGGGACAGCAGGGCAGGTGGGTGATAGTGCCCCCAGCAAGGCTGGGATGTTTACATGGTGGCTGGGGCCCCTTGGCTGCTCTGTGCCAGGTTCCAGAGACTTGGAACATGCAGCCGTGTGGCAGGCAGAGCCCCTGTGGAAGGTACCTGGCTCAGGTAATTGTCTCCCCAGGGAGGTTGGCTGAGAGCGGGGGTTGGAGGGAGAAAACTAAGCAGAGGTTGAAGTAGGGGGCTGGGACAGCAGCTTTAGGAAGGTCCCCCTTTAGGAGGGGGTAGCCCTCCACCCTCCACTGGGACAAAGCTGGCCCTCACATGCCACAGCACTCCTTCCATCCCACACTCCCCAAGCCAACTGCAAAAGGGCAGGACATAGAGCCTGGCAGGGAGGCCATGTTCCAGTTTCCGTTTCTGACTCCCAGCCTGACAAACCTTCCCGGGCAGGGCAGTGGCTAGGAATTCTAGGACTTGGGACAAGAATGTGCCTTCAGTTCACTGCTCTCCCCAAGGAGACTCTATCCACGCGGTCTAGCCCTGGTCTTTGGCCTGGGCCTGCTGGATGAATGGCAGGTTCCTTCCCCTTGAATCTCAGCCTCTGCACCCCTAAAGCCCTCTACCTCTGGACACTCTCCCTTCTCCCTCTCTGGAAGTCAAAGGAGGGGCAGCTGCAAGAACTGGGCCCCTTTGCAGTCCTCCCTTCTGGGGCCCTGGCCGCACGGAGCCTACTTGGCCTGCAGATCTGGGATGTGAATCCAATGCCCCGTGGGGAGCCAGGAGGGAATGGGGAGGGAGCGGCCGCCGCCCGCGCCTCCTCTACCTGCCAGGTGGGATCTGCATGGCGGAAGTAGCAGAAGTTGTCCGTGATCCACTTGTAGATGGCCGACAGGGTGATCTTGGTGGCCTTGCTGGCCTGCATGGCCATGCAGATGAGCGTGGCGTACGAGTAGGGAGGCTTCACATGCGGGTTGGTGGCGTAGTCCACATCGTCGGGGGGCGGGGCCTGCAGCCCCGGGGGCGTGCTCCGCGATGTGCACGACGAAGTGGGCTTGCCCGGCGTGTGCGGCTGCCCCAGGCAGGCGGGGTCGGCCGCCAGGGGGGACCCGGGTGCTGCTGAGCCTGGCACCTGGTGGTAGCCGTGGGGGTCGGTGCCCCCCGGGGGCAGGGCGGGGGCCTTGGCGTTGAGAATGGAGAATTCCTGCAGCCACTGAAGGCTGGTCAGGCTGTCATCCAGGGCGTCGGGCTCCTCCAGGCCGCCCTCCGGCCCGGCCTCCTCCGCCGGCCCGGCTCCGGAGAGGCGCAGCCAGCTCTCCGCCATGTCTGCGGGGACTCTCCGAGGGGGCGGTCAGCATCCACGGCCTGAGTCGGGGGTGGCCCGCCGCGCTCTCCCGCCCGCTGACTCCCGCAGCTTCGGTTACTCGGCCTCTCGGACGCGCGCTTCCATCTCGCGACCCCTGGGGCGCCTCCTCCGAATATGCTTGTGGTGCCTGCGAGGACCACGGCGGGAGCTGAGCACCACCCCACGCCCCGTACAGGGGGCGCCTCCCCTAACATCATCCCCGCAGCTGGGGAGGATCTTTTAGTACCGAGGTCTGGGAAACAGAAGTAAGGCCCTGGGGTCCCCCCCCCCCCACCAGAACCGCCTCCCTCCTCCTTTCCTCTTCGAGGTTTTATTAGGCAAATAAAGTAAGAGGGTAGGGGCATCCGAGGCTATCCTTTTCTCCCGAAGAGCAGGAAATCAGGACCCCCTTCCTCCCCGCAACAAATGGAAATGGGGCGACAAGTCTGGGAGGGCAGTACGACGGGGCGGGAGCGGAGGAGGTCCTCTGATCCTTGAAAAGGAATATTATGATAGGGGGTCGTCGGGAAGGAAGGGGACGGAACAGTTATGAGGGGCAGGAGGCGAGTTTCCCACAAACTCCTCCGTTGTCAGTCCCTGGGCCCACCACTTCCGTCAAGGACGAACGAGAGAGCGGACTGGTACCGTCGCCCACCCTTCCCCAGGGCCTGTAGCCCTCCTCGTCCCTTACCTGGCTCAGAGCGCAGCCCGGGCCAGAGGAAGGTTCTGGAAGAAGTTCCTCCCACCCCCTGCGGCTCTCTGCCCCTCCGCTCGAGGGCCCTGCCAGCGCCTCTCGCTGCCCCCCCGCCCGACGGCGCTTCTCTGAGCGACCGCGGCCCTGGGACCGGCAATAAGTAGCCGCTCCAAAGGCTTCTCCTGCAGCCATGGCGACGCTCCGCCCCCATAAACAGCTTCCGCCACTGCTATTGGCCAGCAAGTCTCCAAGGAGACCGCGGGCACTTGCCACGCTCTCTGGCGGCAACGCTCTTCGAACTCCCTCCTTCTGCCGCCCTCTCCCGCGCCACCCAACCCCCTACCCGCCGCCGCGTCCGGGCTCGGTTCTTTCCCGCCAGAGGGCCCCGCGCTGGGGTCGGAGAAGCGCGCGGCCCGCGGCCCCCGGAACCGCTACGGATCCGTTCGTCCTGGGGAACCACGACTCCCGCCCCCACCCCCTTCCAGTCCGGGTCTCTCTGAGGCATCGACTGCTCCTGGGACAGAGCCTCGGGTTGAGGGGCTAAGGCTGGGAGCGGGCTTAGGCTCGGGAACCGTATCCTTGAGGTTTTCTTTCCTCTCCGCTGCGAGTGGCACTTTCTCATATTTCTGCGGCGTTTCCCTCTCCCCCGACCCTTAGTATCTCTCTCTGGTGCCCCAGGCAGGTCTGACTCTCCGATGCCACCTGCTGCTTACATCCACAGAGGCGGCAAACACCAGGCGGTAGGGTAATCCAGTGTGTCCCGGTAAGCAGCCCATTCCCCACCCCTATCCTCAAGGTTCCAGGAAGCTGATATTCTAGAGACTTCTGCAGAAGCACACTCACTCTTTTGGAGACAGCGGATGAGGCAGAGCCCGTGGGTAAAACTCTGAAGTCATGGACTTGTCAAATTCTTCTAGCGGTGCCTTTTAGTCAATTAATTTCACCAACTTTTAAGTGACAGGGATTAAGGGTAGAGGGACTCTGGGGACTGTGGCCCTTCTTCCTCCCTTCCCCTGGCCTCCCTCCTGTCACCAGCTTTCCTGCTCTTTAATTATTGAGGAGCTGCAGGGTTGGAAGTTCTCCGGTTTAAGGCGGCTGCAGAGGCAGTGGTGGGGGCTGGGTTGCTTACCCAGCCTCTGCCCAGGAGCTGGAGCCAGGAAGGCTGATGCCCAGGCCATGAAGAAGTCCCGGCAATGGTGCATCTCTCCCCCACCAACATGCCTTTTCCTAGCCCTTGCCTCTCCCACTCCTCCAACTCCAGATCCTCTTGAATAAAAATATTAGAATACTGAAGAAAGAGAAACTTTCACAGATAAACTCACTTTGTAGTTAGTTAGCTCTCCTTCCCTTGTAAACAGTTTTATTCATTTTTAAGAATCATGCAGCAATCCATAATATATTGCATTCTTGCTGTCCCCACTGTAGTGTGCCCACAAGTGTACCCCAGGGAGAGGGGTACACAGATGGCTCAAGCAGTATACACATGCGCACACCAGGTGTTCAGACCAAAGCAAAGTGAGCAACCAGCGTGCCAACCCCAGGTGGGCAGGATCCTAACTCCCCAGGTGAGACGCATGAGTGTGGGGGTCTGTGTCCAAGAGATGCCTCAGTGAGGGTGGAAACTGGTGGGATGGAACTGGGCAGAACGCGGCTCCGTGAGGAAGCTGGGATCACACCACCTGAAGGCCATAGGGAGAGCACAGGCCTAGTGCAGCAGGAAGGAGCCCTGGGTCTCCAGAGTTAGGCTGTGCCCTGTGGGAGAAGCCAGGCCCCACCTCTTCTCTTTGGGCGAACTGTGGATGTGACTATGTGACTGTCTCCAGATGAAGAACTGGGGCAAAAGGGTTGACCACTGACCTGTCCTAATCAGGCTGACTGAGGACTAACTCCTTGGATAGTGTATTTCTGCCGGCCAGAGAGCTAAATGACAGCCAAGAGAAGGTGGGGGAGGGAGGAAGAGGAGAAATTGGAACTGAGAAACAAGTTAAAGGACATTTCTAACCTAGGTATGCTGTGGATGTGGAACTGAGGCCTTGAGGAATCTTTCTGTGCCTCTCCCTAGGAGAGGACTGAGCACTTGCTTCGAGGAAGGACACCTCCAGGAAGGGGGTCTTGGCCACTTCAGCTACTGTTTACCTGAATCTCCTTCATCTCAGCTCCTTCCTCCCTCCTCCCAGGTAACACCACACTGTGAATACCACCTGCGGGGGACAGGACAGGAGGTGGTCTGTGTGCCACCACTGTCCCTGCTGCTTCTGAGCTCACGTTTCAGGGAAATCAGGAAGTGGGGTTGTTGCTCAGCTTATGCATCTTAAATATGAAAGGGGCTGGAAGAATGTTGGGGGAAGGAAAGGACATTAGGTGGGGCCTGAAATGGCAGAGTCTACTGCAGTATTTCAGAGGGTGGACAACAGGCTTCCCTTCATCAGGGCAGGATGTGAGCCACAACCACTAGGCAGTGTCACCACACTCCTGGCCTCTGCGGCCACACAGGAGCACAGGACCGCCTGGGCACCAGGCTCTTTTTGAGGCTATCAGGCCTTGGAAACAGCCTTGAAAAGCTTTTTTAGGGTAACAATTCCAAACCCTAAGACAAGTCCACCACAATGGGCATAGCCTATAAGGCTCTCCCACATCTCAACCTCACAAATAATAGTTGTTTCTAAGTTTGCTTTCCAAATACTCATGCCCTACTAAAGAACCAACTTTCCAAAGGCCAGTAAGAGCCACATGGAATTCACCGAGACACAAGTGCTGAGGAAGGGGGCAGCCACCACCTCATAGTCCAGACGTGCTGTTTTGGTTCTTGTATTTGTGCCCTTGCGCTGGGCTGGGGTGGGGAGGGCACATGAACAGAACACCATCTCTGAACTGCCAATCAGCATGTGACTGGCCCCATCTCCCCTTTTACTAATTAGGCTCAGCAGCTCTGGAAGGCAAGGGAGGAACACGTGGAGGATGGATGGGGCCCCTGAGGTGAAGGCCCTGAGCCCTGACTCCAGCCTCTGCTCCTGGCTCACTGCTGCTGGCTGCATGCTGCTGCCTGAACTTTGCTCAAGCCTCTCCACCACCTCCTATGGGGACCTGGGCAGTTGAGAATCACTGGTCCACATTTCTCTTCCACCATTAACAAAAGGGATATAGATGGGAGCAACAGGGACAAGAATGCCACCTCCTGGGTGAGTGAGGATGAATTACGACATAGTATGTGACCACTCCTCACCCAGTAGTTGGTACATAGAGAGGTCAAACACATGTTTCTTAAAATGTCACTTTAGGATGGAGTACTAGGCCTCCCTGAATGCACCTGATCAGGAGAAATGCTCCTTAAGGGAAATCATCTTAACAGGGGGATTCGCAGATTCAAGGGCTCCTTTGTAAGCAGGCCCAGAAGACTGGCTCTGCTCCCAGAAGGAAGGATTGTTTCTTTCAGCCACCTTTTGGCTGCTACCATTTCTTGTCCTCGAGAAAGGCACTCCTAGTGCCTGTGGAGGGAAAGGCCACATGTGTGCAGCATGGCTTTCCTTTCCACAGGAGCCATCCTCCAGCCCCACCCCAGACTTCAGGTTTTCAATTGTTTATGGTGTGCCAGAGACCAGGAAATGCCAGAGGGATGTTTACAACAAAGCTGCCAAAACTCTAAGCCTTCTTGTTCTACTCCCTAAGGAGAAAAAAGATGCATAAGAAACAACTAGCCCATGGACCCCAGCTCCATCTGAACATCAAGATACCATGGGGACATTCCAGAGTCCCTGCAAAGAGTCTCATGAGCTGCAGTTCATTGAGAGGCTTTAGGCCACAGGGAGAAAGGAGGGCTCCAGTCTCCTCTTAGAGGTGAGGGATTGTGGTTACAGGTTGTATGAGCTGTCACAGGAGGGTGAAAAGTCCAGCCTCTTGCTAAGGATGCCCAGGAGGCAGCAGCCAAGTGAAGATGGATGGAATGCAGGGGCAGGAGGGGAGCCCAAGTGCAGGGGCTGGGGCTCAGACAGCCAAAGGGCCCCACACACAAGGCCTCGTCTCAGAGTCCTCCAGGCTGCTGGATGACAAGCGTCGGCGCTGGGCGTTACATCGACTGACGGCATTGTCATCAGCCTGCCAGGTACCTGGGGAAGAGAAAATGAACATTAAAGGGGCCAAAGCTTTGGCCAGGTCCAGATGGTGTCTCCAGCAGGGCAGCCCAGGAGTCAGCACGGAAGGAGCAGGATGAGTATCATCTGAGACCCCTGCGAGGGCGCAAGCCACAGCACCCTCTTAAGAACAGAGAGAAGCAGGTGCAGACAGGTGCAGGGGCTGCTCCTGCCCCCTGGGCTAGGTACAGTCACTGCCACGGTGGCTCCCAGACAGGGAGGATGCTCCTTGTTTTGTGAACTTACCCTAGGATCCACTTTAGTATTTTAAGTTCTTGGTTTGAAAGTTTGCCTATATGTTACGATAGACAGGAAAAGGAAATTGGGCCTTGCTGAGCTATTTTCATTGGGGCAGGAAGAGGTGGGGGGAAGTGAGAAGACTATGTTCGTTCTGGCCCAAAGTATTAATGTTTTCTGCGGGGGCCAAGGTGGAGCAGGAAAGGACTGGCCACCCAGCAGGGTTCCTGGGACAGAAGGCCACATGGAGGGAGGACAGTGTGAGGCCCCAGCCCCCCTCACCTGCCATTTTCCCCTCTTCCTGCACCTGCGCAGCTGTTGAGGTTTGCTACTAGCTGGTGCCATCAGCCCAGCAGACACCAGCCTGGGAGCCTTGGGGTCCCACAGGTACCACCACTGAACGCATCCTCTCCCCTAAATCTGCTGCTGCCCCCATGTGAGGAGCGCCAGCGCCAGTCTGGAAACCCATTCTGGGTGCTGCTCTTTCCTTTGTGCTCCGCATCCAATCCTCCACAAGCTCCTACGGGCTCACTTCTAGCCATGTTGTGACGCCATCTGTAGTCACACTAACTGGGCTCCACTTCCAGTTTACATCGGTGTGATCTTGGGCACATCAATTTACTGTGGGCCTTGGTTTTCTCATCCATCAGATGGGAGATGAGTACTGACCTCACAGGCTTGCTGTGAGGACTAGAGAACGCAAGTGCTGGTGAGAGAATCTGACTCCTACAACAGCCTGTGCTCACGCTCCTGCAGGCCACCTCGCCTTTTCACTGGGTGTCCTCTTCATCTTTCGCCCACAGATGAGCTGGTTCCCTCCAGTGCCTTCCCTCCAGGGAGGCTAGAATGCTCCTGCCTTGGGCCTTGGCCGCCTCTGCTCTCAGGGCCCCCTGGCACCCTGGGGAAGGGAAGCCATGTCATCCTCCAGACGCTGTGGGCCTCGTAAGCCATGTCTCCCAGTTCCCTCCCCTTACAAGGCACCTCTGGCCGGGTGAGGCCAGTGTGCACCTAAGTGCTCGCTGCAGCCTGAACTACGGCTCCACGCACACGTCACATGGTGGAAACCGCTGAGTCCTGGAGCTCCTCCATGGGCAGGGGCCATGACTTTTCCACTGCTGTGGTCCAGAGCCCAGCAGGACACCCGACCCATAGGAGGGCCTGTTCAGTGGACAAGGCCGACACACTGTAGAGTGTGGCCGTGAGGTTGAGAGGCCACTCCCAAGTGTCCTGAGTCAGCCTCAGACCAGCCCAGGACATGAAGTGCTTTAACCCACGTGGAGTCAGCAGGTATAAATGGCTTGCTTACATCCCGTCAGTGGCTTGGCATGCTAATCACCCTCGGGCTCTAACAGTCTCTGGTGCTGGACCCCAGGGGAAGAGTGAGAACAGGAGTCTTGTATCTTCTCACATCCAAACTGAATTTGGGATCTTGACTCCCTGGGGGTGTGTACTGGAGCCTGGGACGTGAGTCAAGGTGTTTTTTCACCCCTAGTGGTGGCACTGTGTGTCTAAATGTGGCAGGATGAATATAAGGCTGTTAATATTGCCTTTAAAGTGAGAAACCCAAAATAAAATGAGCTGTTTGTTCATTGATAGAATTCGGTAGATCTCATACCTATTCCTCAATGTTTATGGGGCAGGACTCCGGAGCTGCGGCTGTTCAGTAGGAAAGACCAAAAGCAAATGGTAAACAAGAGAGAAGACACACATGCATGCACAAATAAAAACAGCAGCACCGCCGCCGCCGCCGCCGCCACCGCCACCACCGCTGCTGCCACCACCGAGGCCACCAGCAAGCCATAAAACGCTGGGCCCAGAGAGTCGCCCTGACTCTTCATTCACAGGAGTCCTTGCAACAAATGGCACCCTTCTAATCTAGAAGCATAAGCCAGGGCAGAGCATCGGTTACTTGTGGAAGACTCAAGAATCAGATCTGAAGTCTCTCCCGGCCTCTTGGTATGCTCTGTGGTGAGGGAGATTCAGCAGCAAGAGGGGGGTGCCTTCCCACTGGCCAGGACCCTGAAGGGCCCATGGCAAAGCCCTGCTACTGATCTCTCCTCAGCCTCATTCCCACGACAAGCCCGGCTGTAGAAAGCCAGTCTGTGTGCTGAGGGGCCTTCCAAAGCAGGTGCCGCCATTTTGTCTGGCTGAATCCAGGCCCCTCCAGCCAGAAAATGGAGTGTGGAGATTTAAAATCCTTATAGGGAAATGGATAAAGGTGCTTTCCATTCACTTCTCATTTTGGGGGTCAGAAATGGGAGTATGAAGAGACCTCTAGAGGTAGATTTTGGGAGCACATTTAGGAAAATTTCACAAGCCCCTTTCCTGCCTCTACCAAGCCACTAATTAAATGTAAGGAATTTAATAGCTCAATGGTCTTTGCCGATTTCTCTCCAGGGAAAGGAGAAACTTGGTTTGAATTTTTCCTTAGTGCCCACAAAGTGTAAACTTTCCTAGTGGCATTTTAGTCTTGGGTTCTGAGGCTTCTCAAAAAGAAGAGAGAATTTAATTTGGTCTCCATAAGCATTTTTAGATTTCACTGGATATGCTCATTCCCCTCAATGCAATAATTTAAAAACTATATTTGTATCACCACTAAAAAGATCAAAATTATCTTTGCCTTTTTTTTTTTTGGAAGACAGTCTCACTCTGTCTCCCAGGCTGGAGTGCAGTGGTATGATCTTGACTCACTGCAACCTCCGCTTCCCAGGTTCAATCGATCCTCCCACCTCAGCCTCTTGAGTAGCTGGGACTACAGGTGTACGCCACCAAGCCTGGCTAATGTTTGTGTTTTCTATAGAGACAGGGTTTCAGTGTGTTGCCCAGGCTGGTCTCCAGCGATCACCCACCTTGGCCTCCCAAAGTGCTGGGATTACAGGTATGAGCCACTATGCATGGTCTGTCTTTGCCTTTTTTCCATCACTGACTACCCCAGAGCCTTCACAGAGCTATCACTTGCCGCGATGACTATCCTGCCACCTGTGTGGCAGGAAAGTCCACCAAACTCCTTGGAGCCACATCTACTTAGCGTGGTCTTACAGTTCTAGTCTTAGTACCACCTGTGACACCTGTCAACTTAGATCTTCCCCTTTACTCCTTTCAGAAGCAATCTTGGAACACACTCCCCAGTGAAAAACCAAAAATCCACCCTTGGTCTTGGGGCCCAGGAAGACCCAGAAGCTTCTTAAGGGGGGAGGGGCTGGAATAAGAGAAGTGCCTCTAAGCCCCTCACCAGCGTGACCAGAGTGGTGAGGATGGGAACCAGCAAGGTTCTCAGTCCTTGCCACCAGCTGGGTCTCCTGGCAGAGGCTGTGAACATGGTGCAGGGCACGGGGAGAGCATGGGAGCCACCCTGGGCTCCATTTCCCACTGGCCCTCCACGAAGGGAGTGGTACCCGCTTGAAGAGCGAAACACGGCTGGGCGCAGTGGCTCACGCCTGTAATCCTAGCACTTTGGGAAGCCAAGGTAGGTGGATCACCTGAGGTCAGGAGTTCAAGACCAGCCTGGCCATCACAGTGAAACCCCATCTTAAAAAAATAAATAATTAATTAAAAAAGAGGCTGGGCGCGGTGGCTCAATGCCTATAATCCCAGCACTTTGGGAGGCCGAGGCAGGTGGATCACGAGGTCAAGAGATCGAGACCATCCTGGTCAACAAGGTGAAACCCCCGTCTCTACTAAAAATACAAAAAGTAGCTGGGCATGGTGGTGCGTGCCTGTAGTCCCAGCTACTCGGGAGGCTGAGGCAGGAGAATTGCTTGAATCCAGAAGGCGGAGGTTGCAGTGAGCTGAGATTGTGCCATTGCACTCCAGTCTGGGTAACAACAGCAAAACTTGGTCTCAAAAAAATAAAAAATAAAATAAAAAAAGAGAAAGTATTAAAAAAGAAGAGGGAAACACACTCAAGCAGAGTCCAAGCACATGTGCAGCTGTCCTGACAGGGAGAGAGCTGGCTGCAGGAGCAGTGAGGCGCCATGACAGCCAGTGGTATCTTGGCCCTGGGATAGAAAGCTGAACTTACAGCTGAGTGTGAAGAGGTCTATGTATACCATGGGACCTACCAAAGTAGTTATTCCTGTCTGTAACCTACCAGATACTTCCAGAGAGTTCTCCAGCACTTTTGCTACCAGTGATGCTACCAGCGGAACCAGAGACACATTTTGCTTAGAGAGATGTGCTTTTCCCTCTCAAGTAAAAGGGGAACCAGAGGTTTTGTGATATCACTGTCACCCAACTACTGACTGATGATGCCAATTAAAAACAAATCCTGGCCGGGCATGATGGCTCATGCCTGTAATCCCAGCACTTTAGGAGGTCAAGGCAGGCAGATCACAAGGTCAGGAGTTTGAGACTACCTTTACCAACATGGTGAAACCCTGTCTCTATTAAAAATACAAAAATTAGGCTGGGCGTGGTGGCTCAAGCCTGTAATCCCAGCACTTTGGGAGGCCGAGGTGGGTGGATCACGAGGTCAAGAGATCGAGACCATCCTGGTCACCATGGTGAAACCCCGTCTCTACTAAAAAAATACAAAAAATTATCTGGGCATGGTGGCGCGTGCCTGTAATCCCAGCTACTCGGGATGCTGAGGCAGAAGAATCGCCTGAACCCAGGAGGCGGAGGTTGCGGTGAGCTGAGATCACGCCATTGCACTCCAGCCTGGGTAACAAGAGCAAAACTCCATCTCAAAAAAAAAACACAAAAAACAAAAATTAGATGGGCATGGTGGCACACACCTGTAATCCCAGCTACTCAGGAGGCAGAGGCAGGATAATCGCTTGAACCCAGGAGACGGAGGTGGCAGTGAGCCGAGATTATGCCACTGTACTCCACCTGGGCGACAGAGTGAGACTCCATCTCAAAAAAAAACCAAACAAAACCAAATCCTTTCCATAGTCTTTGCCACAGAAGCATTCCCATTTTTGTTGAACAGAAATTAATAGTCTCACACATTTTTTTTCTTTCTTAGAAAATCTTAGTATATTGAATACTACAGGCCCTCATCTTGAGGCCCCTGGTGAGGATAGAATGGGACACTTACAGTGCTGTACCCAAGGCCCTCTTCCGAGAGCCATCATAAGCATCTGATTTCATGTTTGGCCCAAACTGTGAGCTGACCATAATCTCTAAACAGCTGCCTCCACAAGTCACCCTAAGGAACCCCAGGGCTGCTCTCTTCCTCCCAGTCCTTGCTCTCCTCCCGTAATCCTGTAAGTGGAGTAACTATCACCAAGCAGGTCGCCAAGGGGAGTCAGGAAGAGGAGGGAGCAGAGGGATACACTGAATTTCCACCAGCACTGTTGGCTAAAACAACTCCCAGCAGCTCCTCTGCCAAAAAATAGGGGTGGGTAAGGGAGCCCCTTGAGGGAGGCAGTGAGCTAAATTTCCCTCCTAAAGCCCAGGAAGGAGATGACCAGGGTAGAGCTGCCTCAGACACAGGGCAGAGCTAAGGCAGAGATGTCATCTTCACCCAACTATGGACGGAGGATGCCAGTCAAAACCGAATCCTTTCCATAGCCCTGGCCACAGAAGCATTCCCATTTTCATAGAACAGAAATTAATACAATCTCACCAATATTTTTTCTTGGAAGATCTTAGTACACTGAATACAGGACCTCGCAAATTAGGAACGGGAGCCTTACTCACAGCCCCAAGTGCGCGCCTCCCAGGTGTGTGCGTGGCCAGCAAGCTTGGATGGGGTGAAGCATTGGCAGGGAGGACAGTGCTGGCACGGAGTGAACATGAACTCTCATACCAAGTCTAGAGAACGTACATGAGTTTAGAAAATAAACAAACCAGACAGACAAATTTACATTTGGCAACATGATGTGAAACACAAATGGACAGATGGAAGCCAGGCCAGGGCGGGAAGGTAGGGGTGGTACAGCCCCTGGGCCCCAGCAGCTCCAGTCCAGGCCAAACTGGCAGGAGGCTGGCCCCATGGTCTACACTCAGGCAGGAAGGGGGTCTTCCCTGGGCCTGTGCAGGAGAAGCAGGGGAACCAATACTGCCTCTTTCGGTCTCACTGAATATGAAGAGGCCTAGGCAGTGTCTTTAGGACAAACTAAATAGAAAATGACTCAAGAAAGTCCTTTGAAAGGCTGGAGAAAGCGTCTCTAGAGAATTCCAGCTTCCCTGCCACAAGCTTGTGTGGGGCCAGAGCGTGCTGGAACTGTGCCTTGCACAGGTTGATGGAGAGTGGCAACCGCAGAGGTCGTGTGGCTCCAATGCCTCCAGCCACGTCGCCGAGCGAGTAAAGCACTGGACCCATGATGTGGCTGTTCTGAAGCTGAAGTGAGTCTTCATTCAGGGAATGTTTAAGAGGATTCAAACAACACGATGTGAAGGACAATCTGTGTTGTGAAACCCGGAGGGGACATTTGGCTGAGTCCACTTGGGCAAGATGTGGATTTTAGAAAAGCAGTTTTTGGAGCCCTTGAACGGGCACATTAACTAAAAAGGCAGTCGGTGTGCAAAGTGTGATGAACATGACTGTGTAAGACACCACCTAGATTCGGTTTAGTATCATGAAGAAGAATAAGGGCACACTGACAACCTGATCACCTGTGAAGCTGCAGCTCCAGGGAGCATAGTGAAGCCCTAACTTGACCTCTCCTTTGGATCTGAATCCAGTATGTATAATGCACTGGTAACCCAAAGCTCACTGGCTCAATTAGAATCATTCCTTAGCCTCTAAAATGCTTGCTTTTAGATTCCTCTCTGATCCTAGCTGAAGCACATCTCTTCTGAGGAGCTACGGCTTCACTTTAAAAGGGCTCAGGCAATCCTTACAAGACTTTCATAGACAGGTGGTATCTGTCTGCTCAAACTTCCTGTCACTGAAAACAAGACCAGGCCACCTGACATGATAACTGCAAGGCCAGGAGATGGAGTGGAGAGTGTTTAGGCCAAATTATATATTTTGCTTCTTTCTTCCTACCCTAATATTCTCACTTAGAGCAAGGATGGCTCATTGCAAAAAGCTCAGGGACTCTCCCAGGCCTTCTTACTTCCTTTCAGCAAGTGTTCTCCAGCACTAGCACACCCCAGGCCTTCTTGCCAGGAACTGCAGAGCAGGAGATGGGTGTACCAGGGTGAGAGCAGGGGTAAGAGCACAGGGATCGTCTCCCACCAAGTTCATGTTCAGCAGACTGCCACTCACCAGGTAAGCAGACCTCAGAGCACAGCTTATTGTCCAGTGCTTTCACGCTTGAGATGTCAAAGTCATTGTTATTGTCACACTCCATACCTAGAAATGCGCATGTCCTCTGGCCTGTAACGGAGTTAATGCAGTTAGAGAGGGGCTGGCTGTGTTTTTCTCTACTTTGCTGTCCTTAAAATAAAAATCTTAAGGATGGAGACAAAAAACAAATCAAATCATATGTTAAAAAAAGACAGTAATTAAGTGGGTAAAGAGTGGACAAGAAAGGAGTCACGCTGCATGGGCATGTCTGTGTTCTTGCGCTATCCTGCTGCTTCCCTAGAGCCCGTTCCACCTGCTGTTCCCTAACGGGTCAGATTGCTGAGGAGGGCTGTGGGACACAGGCTCAACAGAGAACACTGGAGTGAGCAGAGCTGGGCAGAGGCCAGGCCGGTGAGGCTGCGACCACCTGGCAGAAGCTAGAGAGAGCCAGTGGGGAGGGCATCCTGCTCATGCCTGTGTCTGCCTCAGATGCGAGCTGGGGTGTTTATGACCACACGGCGTGTTTATGACCACAGGGCTCTGCAAAATAAGTGCATGAAACAACAACTAAAGGTCTTCGGGTCCATAATTTTGCAGATCAAATCAGAATGACTACATTCACAAAATTATGATTTCCTTTGTATGAGACCTGAGTTGTTATTTTCAGTGTGTTTTAAGTGACTAACCAGAAATCTACAGACATGTAAGAAGGGAAGGGAAAGGTTTTAAAAGATGTTTGTTTGTTTTTTTTAAATCAAGTTCTCCTCTTTTTTTCTCCGTGAAACAGAAAGAAGAAAACAAATCCATTCCAGGGCTAGGGAATGTCAGCTGAAACCACCTGGCCACACTGCACTTCTTAGAAGCAGATATTCTATCAGAGAAACCATCACAAGGGGTAACTCTACAGCCTCGAGCACTGAAGTCATCAGCTGAGTTAGTGACACTACAAATCCCCTTGGGCTGGGGTGCAAGAGCTGATGGAGGCAGCCTTGGCGGCCACCTTCTCCTTCAGGCTCCTTGGCCAGGCAGGAGCTGTCAGGTCCACACGCACACCTTCCACACTCCCCAAGCGATGGCCAGCGCTGAAGCAGAAGCAATAGGATGACATCTGCTGGTGCGTCTGCATCCAGGCCGGGGCACACGTGTGCTCTGGAGGTGCCCTTGCGGGAGGTGCTTCAGAGCAGAAGGGGGAAGAGTCTGGCTCCTGGAACACGTGGTGTTCCCTGCTCAGGGGAGACTTTCCCACCTCCGTTCTTCCTCCTATGTGCTTGCTCTGTGGGCCATTCCTTCTCTTCTAGCCTTACTAGAAACAATATTCTTCCAACTGAAGATGTAACTGAAGCCTCAATTATGGTGCAGGAAAACCATTACAACAGCCTTAAAAATGCTTGCCTAAGCTGAGCTGCTGAAGAAACCTGGACCTGTTTCCTTGACCACGCCTTTAATGTGTCTGCTGGCTCCTGGGAGTCCTCTTTTACAATAACGTCTGCCATTTTCCTAACTAAAGCAAGACTTGACCAGCTGCCAAATAGTCCTCCCCTTCCCCCCAGTGGAAGAAATGGCTATAGCTGTTCAACACTGAAACTGCCAGAGCAGCTCTGTGGGGCTCCACTGAACACCTGCAGCAGAGAGGCTGGCGATGGGAGCTGCTTAGAGCGCTTCCGAATGTACTTGGGGTAAATATGTACCTGCATGTATATCCTGCAGCACCCGCACCTGACATCCTTGGCTCTGAGGCCCAGAAAGAGCCGAGGAGGTCATAGAGGTCATCAGTGCCCTGCTTGCTTTGATACACCATTAAGAAGACAGCCTTTCCTCTAACAGCCATACAACTGAACAGTGCCACCAAGTCATACTGGTACCTTTTTCTTTACCCCTTAAAAGAATACCCAGGAAAGAAAGATAATAAAAGGAAATAAAGGACCAGATCTTTTACCATCTTCCTGTGTGGGTGATCCATCCTCTTCCTCTATAACATCATTTCCCTAGGATAGAAGGAAGGCCTTGTGAGTTTATAAAGCAGGAAAATGAGTCGACTGATTGGCTGATGACGGAACTAATCATCTTAATGGTATCTAACTCCAGGGCCTACGTTACTAGCATATATTTTCATCTGTGTTTAATATGCCTGAGAGGCTGACTAGAGGCAGATCTTGCTTGGTGAGGCACCATCTGCCTATAGGGATTAGATCCGAGCCACATTACCCATATAGGCTCAGAATGGTCTGTCAGGAACACCCTTGTTAATAGCTTAGCTGATACTGTTTCTCTAAGGTGGAAGTAAAAGTTACTAAATGAAAGAGCAAATTGTGAGATCATAAAACTTTAAGAAATCTCTTAAGATCCCACACCCTATCTAGATACTCCATTGAGAGTAGTTGGCTCAAGAAGAGTTCTAGATCTCTCACTGTGAGCTGGCGTTCCACAGCACACCACAGTCAGGGCACAGACAGGATCACACTGAACTGTGATCCTGTCTGCCTGCTGGACAGGGCTCCTAGATAGGTCCAGTGGGCTGGGGGTAGGCAGAAACCTCACCACACGGTTCTGTATAGGTCTGTATCTGCCCCAGTGCCAGTGAGTACCTGGGACACAGTTCCCCATGTAGATACTAGTGGAATGAAGGACAATACATTCTCAAGGCCAGGGGCTGGCAAGAAAAGTTCTTTCTTGAACTCACTCCACACCAGTGACCCTGAGAACCAGTGGCCCCACTCACTGGACAGTCCACAGACCCCGGGGTGGCTGCTCTCATCTCTACCCACATTCTACTTGTGACTGATATAGGCATGTCCCCAGGAAGGCTTTGTCAGCACAGCCCCCTGGCCCTGGTCCTTATTGGCATCCCCAGCCATGGCCAGACTCCTCTGGCTGTGGGAAGGGGTCCACTTCATGCTGCTGGGGTTACCTCTGCATCCTGCTCTCCAGCTGGGAGGCCAGCGAAGTTGCTGTCTGGAGACTCCGCTGGCAGCCCCTGCAGAAGAGCACAGTTTTTACAGGTCTCCCATTAAGCTCCTGACAGCAAACCCAAACCTTGTTCAGTACAAAATTGGTGTCAAATAGGAGGGTCAGAGCTAAGGGAATGCCTTGTTTTCTGTGGCACTCCAGGCACTTTGGGGGGCTTTGCTGCCATGAGTGGCAGATCTTTGGTTATGCTACTTTGGACATGTCTGCAAAGTACAGAGAAGCCAGGGTGGTTCCCGTCCTTTCCTTTACCTCTCCTTCTTCTGAAGGGGCCCTGCTGGCAGCCCGGGGGGAAGGGAGAGCCTCTCCCTCCTCTTCAGTGCCAGGGGCGATGTAGGAGCCAGACATGGAGGAGACGGTGTCGGTGCTGATCTGGGACGATGCCATGGACATGACAGACTGGGCCAGACTGCTGCTGGTGCTGGCAGGGCCTTTGGAGACAGGGGATGGAGGAAGGAGCCTAGAGGTCAGGCAGGGCTTCTGCAAGCTTTCTGGGGAGCAGAGCCCTCTCTCTATACTCAGGCAGTAAGGAGTAAAGTGGCCTCCCCTAAAATTGGTTTTAGGTTTAAGGTTTTCCAAAATTCTGCTCCTTTATATTTTAGAGCTCAGAACTCAGCCTCGAGGACAAGACATGTGCTTTTCCCTGTCATAATGCTAAAGGAAACCTCATGACAGCAGGACTGGAGCTGAGAGAACTGACACCCCCTAGCTACAGGCAAGCCCACTAACCCATGGTAGGAAAGCAAGTTCTCTTCCCTCTCAAGCCAGGGCCTACCTGTCATGCTGCCCAGGTATTAGCTTGCCACTCCCATGTCCCTTCCCGGAGGAAACGCCAGGACACTGTGGCTGGGTAAGGGGCAAGGACATGCAGCCGCTCCCCGCTCCTCATGTACCTTCTGGGGAGGAAATAGTGGACGACAGAGGCGTCCCTGTGCAAGACGACTGGTCAATAGCTCCAGATGATGACAAGGTGAGATTCTCACTTTCTGGAGTCACACCACATTCCTGGGGGGTGTGGGGGACACAACAGACATGGAGCAAGCGCCAGTCACCTGTGCTGGAGGAAGGGGTCAGGGCGGAGGTCTGGGTAGAGATGAGGAGGAAAGGCGACACTGGGAGGGACTGACTGGCCTGCAGAGGCCGCAGCTTCTCTCTTCTGTCCTCACTTCTCAGCCCAAGCCTGGAATGACTGCCTCCCAGGGGAGGCACACACTTCAGTCAACATCTCCTGCCCAAGGCACAGCATCTGCTGGGGCCATACAAAGACTGCAGCTCGGGTGACACAGGTCACCCAGCAGCTGTGACATGGGGACACCCCAGGTTTCCCCAGGATTATGATCAGCTTTCCTTCTGAGGCAAAAGCATACAAAGCCAGCAGATGCCTCCCTGCCTGCAGGGTATCTTCACACAGAGCACAGTTAACTCCTGCTCAGCTGATTTCTGATACAAACACCACCTTGTTCCCAGCCTGCTGCTCCTCACATGCCCCACCTCCAATCCCAGCCCCCACCTGCCAGGCATCTGGGCGCACAGCCTGACCCATCTGAGGCAGATGCAAAGTTCTTCAGACTGTGTCTCCAAAATCCCTTCCCCTCCCTCCAGGCACTCCTCTGTTGTCTTAGTTCAGGCGATCCTTCTCGCCTCGGCTACTGGAGCCCTTCCCTGGCTGAGTCTGTCTCCTGTCTAGTCCAGAGTGCACGCTGCAGTCGGGTGGGCCTTTGGGAAGCGAAGTGCTCACCATGTCCCTGCTCAGAGCCTCGACTTCCTGCTCTGTGCCTTTGCATGCACCACCCTATCCACATGGATGTTTCTCTCACCTTTTTCTCCTTGTCTAAAAAACTTCAAGGTTCAGCTAAAATGCTACTCCTCCATAACACATGTTCTGATCTCTTCCACTGATCTTATCCATCTCTGACACAGAAATTTATTGACTCCGTTTTGGGCACAATTCTTTTCTATAAAATTTACTTAGTCATTTAACAAATACTTACTGAGCAACAACAACGTGCCAGGCACGTGCTATTCCCATGCATCTGTCCTGTCCCAGCTAGACCTGAGCACCCACGGCCAGGGACCACTTTACCTTTCTATGCTCTGCTCTATCTAGCTCAGTGCCCGACACAGAGGAGGTGTATACACTTTTGTTAAATGAGGTCTATGTGGGACACACAGGGTAGACAATTCCAGCCTTCTTCTTCCATTCCTCAACACAGGCCTCCCAGCAGCCCCCAATTAACCCCAGGGCTTTCCACTTGCTGTTCCCAGGCCTATAGCCCTCTCTCCTCCTATATCTGCATAGCTACTTCTTCCACATCCCTTGGTCTTGGCTCCTGGACCACTTTTTAAGAATGGTAATCCCCACTTCCAGCTGTGACACTCCCTTCCCTGTTGTGTGACATGCTGATCCACAGTACCGTCTGGCACATGTGTATTTTTTTACTTATTGTCTTTTGTGTCCACCACCCCATCCCAGCCAGCAAGAATATAAATGCTACGAGGGCAGGGACTTTTGTAGTTCCCCAGCTCCTATCCTCAGCATATAGCAGAGTGCCTGGCAAATAATACAGGAGGCATACACTGATGAATGCATGAATCTAATGAAAGCTTTGCCGCTGCCTCAGAGGGTGTTGAAAAGGTGTTTGATGAGTGAATGAGAGCAGAGGGACCTGATGAGGCATGCAGGTAGGAGGAAAGTCCCTGGAGTACAACACCCAAGAAAAGGAGAGGAATGTCAATTACCTCTCCGAGATGCTGAGCTGACAGTCTCTGAGAGAGCTGTGTCTCCGACTCACTGCAGGAACGCTCATCTTCCTCTTCAGGCAGCACAGAAGAATTTTGGGAAATGGATCTGTAGGAGTCCAGAAGAAAAGCAGCTGTATCCAACATCCGTTTAAGAACAGTACTTACTGTGAGGAGAAACTGAGGGGAAAACCCAAATCTCTTTTGTTTGCTTATTTTTTGAGACAGGGTCTCATTATGTTTCCCAGGCTGGACTCGGACTCCTGGGCTTCAGCAATCCTTTTGTTGACATTTTTAACAGAGGAGGAGTACAGCCTCCTGAGTAGTTGGGATTACAAGTGTGGGCCAACCTGCCTGGCTCAAAACCCAAATCTTAAGTAGCACTAGGGAGGTAGAAAAGAGAACCAGGGAGGGATGGAGGCCTCTTTGGGGCATCAGAAGTGCTAAGTTTTCCCTTTAGCTCCTTTGATGACTTGCTATCTAAACTTGGGAAAAACCATTGCCATTTACAGGATCTCAATACTTTCATCTGTAAAATGCCCTCCCCTTTACTCTGCCACAGAAAGCTTGTCATGATTCGTGCCTAGCTGGATTTAGATGTTTAAGATATATGGATCACAAGGTTCCTTCAGTCTTTGGACTAAGCAATGCTCCCAGGGGCCTGTATGGCCCTATCCACAGTGTTCAACGTCCTCTTTCCTATATCCCATCCCCTACCCTTGAAAAAAAAAAAAGAATACATAAGAGATTTGTCTAATCAGAATTTTCCTAAGCACCTATATACCATCTTATTTTCATCTCTTAAGGGATGGGATAACCTTCCCACAAGCAGCTCTTGGAACAGCCCAGAGGGCGACCCTGCCGTAAGGCCCCAGGATGTGAGCCAGCACCAAGAAGGATTAAAGTGTCTCATCAAGGATTCCGGGGGCAATATATGGAGCACTGGCTACTCACTTGGAGAGACTCTTCTTGAGTTTGAATCCTTGGCTGCCACAGTCAGACAGGCGGTCAAGAGGGGAGATCGTCCTGACGGGGGGCAGGTGGCCATCACTGCCATATGAAGGGAGCATTCCTGAGAGGTGGCCATCTCCAAGCACGTGAAGTGGAGGAACTGCTGGGGATGGGGTGAGGGGCCCATTGAGGGCCTCTAGAAGAGATACTACTTCATAGCCTGGTGGAATATTCTCTGAGGACTAGGGAAATCAGAGATAGGTTGAAGAATTAATTAGGTCCTTTTTGTTTCATGGCATGATCATGCTACTTACTCTACACTAAAAAAAAATGTTTTTTTTTGTTTGTTTGTTTTTTGTTTGTTTGTTTGTTTTGAGACAGAGTTTCGCTCTTGTTACCCAGGTTGGAGTGCAAGTGCGATCTCGGCTCACTGCAGCCTCCACCTCCTGGGTTCAGGCAATTCTCCTGCCTCAGCCTCCTGAGTAGCTGGGATTACAGGCAGGCGCCACCATACCCAGCTAATTTTTTGTATTTTTAGTAGAGACGGGGTTTCACCTTGCTGACCAGGATGGTCTCAATCTCTGGACCTCGTGATCCACCCGCCTCGGCCTCCCAAAGTGCTGGGATTACAGGCTTGAGCCACCGCGCCCGGCAAACGTTTTCTTTTATATCTGTTCTGGGGAGCTCTGGTAAGAACTATACTAGAGCAGAAATAAAATACCAAAGAACCACATATTGTAGATCCTACTTATTGGTAAACCTTTTCTTAATAATCTCTATTTTTTCTGATTATAATGGAAACACGTTAATTATAGGAAATTTGGAAAATACATAAAAGTAGAAGGGGAAAAAAATCACCAGTAATCAAATCACCCAAAGTTACTTTTGTTAGCATTCTGGTGTCTTTTCTTCCCATTTTTTTCTGTGTACTGTTTACACAGTTTTGATCAAGCTGTAAATAACAATTTTATATTCTGCTTATTTTACTTTCCTCTTTTTAAAAAAATAGAAGTGGGATCTCACTATGTTGCCCAGGCTGTTCTTGAACTCCTGGTCTCAAGCAATCCTCCCGCCTTGGCCTCCCAAAGTGCTAAGATTACGGATGTGAGTCACCATGGTTGGCCAGAACTTAAATATTTTCCTTTGTTTCTGAAGCCTCTTCATATATGTCTGCTTCTCATAGATCCCCTAAGTTTTCTAACTATTCTAGTGGTAGTTATCTAGTGTCTAACACGTCCTATTATAAACAAGTTTTAAGGAACATCCTTGAATGCCTTTTTTTCAAATTATCTTCTTGTTATTAAATTCTTAGCTCTTACATGATGAAGTATAAATGTTTTTAAGGCTCTTGATATATACTGCTATTTTCTGCTGTTTTGTTTATTTCAGTGCCTTTTCTAGTTACACTCTTATAAGTAATATGGAAGACCTATTTTGACTACTTCTCTGACAGCAGGGAGAATCATTAAAAATAAGTTTTTAAAATTTGAAAGTTGAAAAATGGTATTCTCATATTTGCATATCATTGATTTTTAATGTGGTTGAACTTTTAAAAAAAACTCTATGTTGAGTATATTTTGTTTATGCCCTTTGCCCATTTATCTACTGTTTCATTCAATATGAACTATGGGAAGACATCAGCTTTTCCTCTGATACATACATTGTAAATACTTTTTTAAAAAACACTATTTGTTGTCTATCTTTTAATTTTCGTCACCTTTTAGACCTCAGAAATGATAATCTTTTTAGGTGATAAAATGTACGATTCTTCTAGGGGGTCCAAAGTGGCTCCCGCCGGAGGTCATGGCGCTCGCAAAGGCGAGGTCATCAGTTCAAGGCTAACCTGAGCAACCTCATAAAGCTCAAACTGATTGGCAAAAAAAAAAAAAAAATGTACGATTCTTGCTTTCAAGCTTAGAGAATCCTTTCCAATCCAAAGTCAACTAAATAATCATCTATAATTTATTCTAGGTTTTGGATGTTTTGTTTGGTCTTCTGTAATGTTTGTTTGGTTTGACGCTTTTAATATAGTTAACTAGTTACTCCAGCTGGAATGTATTTGATAAGGAGTAAAGTGCTAAACTGATTTTTCCTTCTGAAATAGCTAACTAATTATCCCAGTATCATTCACTGAATAATGATGTCTCCCAGCAGTGGGTTAATCTAAAGAAAGCAGCATCTGCCATTCTTTAACTGCAAAGCTTTGAGGTTTCACCCTAATATCAGCACTTACACTGGGACACTGATGTCAGTTACTTCATCTCAGGCACTGAGGCCGCAAAACAGGCTAAAGAAAAACAGTTACTTTCTTCAATAATTCAAATAAAGATAATAAATTGTATTCAAATTCAAAATAATTGTCCCATTATTTCTGCCTGGGGGAGTTTGAGACGAACCTCACTGGAGTGAAACTGCAAATAGATGGCTCTAGGAATGATAAACATTAACTGGATACCAAGTTCCCAAGGAGGAAAAGGGAGGTTTTCGTGACCAGTACTCAATTTTCCACAGTAATAACAGTTGGTTTTAATGCAAGTTCTCAGCCAGCCTGCTAAATACTGCAGCATGCCCAGGTCTAATTCCTTGCCGAAGTGCCATGTAGAGAAACATGAAAGGTTTAAAAAAGCCAATGAGACATCTGCTTCAGAGTGGCTGTGGTTCTGAGCCCAACTTACTGAATGCTCTTCAGAGTCCGATGTCTGGGATGAGATGATGGGGTTAAAGCTGGTTGGGGACAATGGGCCCAATTTTTTCCTCATGGCTCGGATCTGAAGCAGTGCCCGGAAGGCTGTGAAGAAAACAGGCAATCAGGACATCCTGATGCAGGATTAAGGATGAACAAGAGCCCAGACAGAAACCATGATCCCTCCTAGCGCGTATCCGTTTGCCCGATCCAGCGGCAGCACGTGCTTCGGTGTTTTGTAAACGTCCTCTTGTCCTCTCTCCCACCCACCAGCCCCCCTGACACTCTTGGGCTTACGCAGTCGGCAGATGGGGCAGTTGTTGGCCTGGTAGCGCAGGGTGTCTGCACAGGTGTTACAGAGGCAGAGGTGGCGACAGGGCAGAATCAAGGTGTCCCGGACATCTGAGAGACACACCACACACTCGGCACTGTTATCACTCACTTCATCTTCAGCCACCTGGCCGAGGAGAAAGAAATTTAGCTGATGGCACAAAGCCCTTCCTGTCCCATACTTTATTGACAAGGCAGCTTGTCTGAAGAGCTAAGATAAGTAATAAGAACAAAATCTGAATTGACATTGGACTTTGTTGTTTACCCAGCGCGTCAATACACTTAGCTTCACTGCTTCTGGGAAGTGTTTATCTAAAATCAAGAGGATGAGACTAACCACTCGAGCTCCTCCTATGAGGCTCAGAGCTGGGCCTCTTGAGTCTCAGCTGAAGGGACCTAGGGGAACACACAGATAAAGGAAAAGGAGCAACAAAGAGACCCTGGTGGGAAACCGAGCTGGACAGAGCTCTGCGGCAGAACAAAGCCAAACCAGCCTACTTCTCTCATTTCCAAAGTGGCACAAGCATAATGATCTGAAATGAAGAACAAGAAAATATCCTTCTAAGGCCTTACTGATTTCAGAGTTTGGCACGCTAAATTCCTAGACGGTGGCTTTATAAGGTAATTTCTCTGTTGGCCTCCTGGAAAGAGTACATTCAGAATCTTGGATAAAACTTACTTTAGAATCTTGTGTGTTGTACTTGTTTTCAATTCCATAGATCTCCTGAAGGAGGTAGCTGACCCCATCTACCTGAACAGCAAACAGAAAGGTTCAAGGATAGGCTGACTCTACTGAGAGACAAGAGTGGGAACTCCCTCCCCTTTTACCTCTCTTGGTAACCAAGGACTAACAATTCATAATGGGAAAAAATCGAAGGCCTAGACAAGTAAAGGATGCTTTTATTTACTTATGTTTTCTCTTTGAGAGAAGAAAGAAAATCAAATATTTAATTTACCCTTCATTATATACAACAGGGAACATAAAATTTCATAAATACAATAATAACACCTGTACTAGAGCTTACTATTTTGGACAATTAAGAAGGCATAGACTAGAAAAAGGATAGAAGGGTATGCATCAAAACACAGACATGTGCTATGTAATCCGATTGAGTTCAGAAACTATGAAAATAAAGGAATGTCGGCCGGGCGCGGTGGCTCAAGCCTGTAATCCCAGCACTTTGGGAGGCCAAGGCGGGTGGATCACGAGGTCAAGAGATTGAGACCATCCTGGTCAACATGGTGAAACCCCGTCTCTACTAAAACTACAAAAAATTAGCTGAGCACGGTGGCGTGTGCCTGTAATCCCAGCTACTCAGGAGGCTGAGGCAGGAGAATTGCCTGAACCCAGGAGGCGGAGGTTGCGGTGAGCCGAGATCGCGCCATTGCACTCCAGCCTGGGTAACAAGAGTGAAACTCTGTCTCCAAAAGAAAAAATAAATAAATAAAGGAATGTTAAGGAGAAAGAAAAAGAAGAGGAAATTGACAAGGAAAAAGAGGGGAAGGAAAAATAAAGATGCAAAAGGCAATAGCAAGACCTTGAGGGAGAGGCTAATGGTGTGCACCCCCCACCATGAAGCCACCCCATCCCCAACATACAGCAAAATTACTCCTCTTGGCCCTGTTTCTTTTCTTTTTTTTCTTTCTTTTTTATTTTTATTTTCTTTTACTTATATGTTTTTATATTTTGAATTCAGAAATTAGAAACAAGGTTCTGGATAAAATCTTAATAAGATCTTTTTGGTCTCCATCCTCAAGAAAGAATTTATCAAAATTTTGGTCTTTCTTTTTTTTTGAGACAGGGTCTTGCTCTGTTGTCCAGGCTGGAGTGCAGTGGCACCATCTTGGCTCACTGCAACCTCTGCCTCCTGGATTCAAGCGATCTCCTGTCTCAGCTTCCCGAATAGCTGGGATTACAGGCGCATACCACCATGCCTGGCTAATTTTTATTTTTTGAAAGAGATAGGGTTTCACCATGTTGGTCAGGCTGGTCTCAAACTCTTGACCTCAAGTGATCCACCCACCTCAGCCTCCTAAAGTGCTAGGATTATATGTGTGAGCCACCGTGCCCAGCCAGCCCTGTTTCTTAAAACCCCAACTACCAAGGCTCAATCCCACACCCACTATCCTGGGCCATGTCAGTGCCTAAGCTGGCCCTGCCCCATTTCCTTTTAGGAGCATGCTCTTGTCTCACCTCTCTTCCTCTCTATTCCCTCCCCTAAGACCTAGCCTGTCTCTGATTTTATATCCCACTCTCCGGTTTAACAGTCTGTTGCTAGTGCCAATCTAACAAGAGGATAGGAACAAACCATTTTCCTGTAGCTACACGAGCCTTTCCATCCTATCCAGACCTCCTGGAGAGCTAGGCCTTCCCCATGAGGCAACTCACCAAGGCCTGACCTGCCCAGGTAGTGCCCTGGGCTCTGGATCTGTTTCCTCCTCTGCTGCTCTTAAAACTTAGCAATTATACTGGAAAGGACATTATCAACTAATTTATACTAAGATATTATTATTATTGTCCTCATTAAAAGAGAGGCGACTCATGCCTGTAATCCCAGAACTTTGGGAGGCCAAGGCAGGCGGATCACGAGGTCAAGCGATCGAGATCATCCTGGCCAACATGGTGAAACGCCGTCTCTACTAAAAAATACAAAAATTAGCTGGGTGTGATGGCGAGCGCCTGTAGTCCTAGCTGCTCAGGAGGCTGACGCAGGAGAATTGCTTGAACCTGGGAGGCAGACATTACAGTGAGCAGTGATCGCGCCACTGCACTCCAGCTTGGCACCTGGCAACAAAGCGAGACTCTGTCTCAAAAAAAAAAAAAAGAAAAAAGGAGAGGTGAGTAATTAACCTAAAAGAATGAATAGTGTAGAATTTCAGATACCTATCATGCATCTTCAAGGAGGCTTTTCCTTGCATCTCGATGAATGCCAACTCTGCTTCCTACCCAGTTTGCTCTACACCCTCTGAAAGGGTGACCTACCCCTCACCCACCCTCCTTTGCCAGTGTCACTGGCATCCCTCTCTCTCCTCCCAATGATGCCTCCTCCTACCTCTGTAAGAGTGGAAAGAAAAGTGCTGGCACATGGTAGGGGCTGGGACTTCTAGCAGACATATGCATAAGGTGCTGATCATTCTGGAAGAGGGAGAACGGCCAACTTTGAATTTTAGAAAAGGAATGGCAGGATAAATTAAGTCAATGACTCTAATTACCCTAAATGGGACGCTAATGCTTTATCTTTTTGCTTGAAATGTTTCTCACTTTGGCATTTTAAATAAAACCTAAACCCAATGTTGGGAAATAAATCTTGTTCTTTCATTTCTCAAGTCCTTTGCTCAGATAAAGGCTTCCTCAACACCAACAATTCTGGAACAATTAAGACATCAAAAATCAGCATTCCTTTCAGGCCACCCAAGTAGTCTGTAATAGCTTGTAACATTCAAAAGCACTCCTTTTTTTTCTTTTCTTCTTTGATTGGGAAAAAAAAAGGAAAAATTGTGAATTAGCAAAAAGCAAAAAAAAAAAAAAAAGAGGGAGAGAGAAGACAAAAGGAAAGAATAAAAGGAAGGAAGGAGCACTAACAGCCTGTGGTCTTCAAATACTTACTACTTGTTTCTGTTTGAGGGGTTTGACACAGAAAGTTCCATCTGTGTGCTGGAATGAAAATACGAAAGTTACGACGAGGGGAGGGCAACAAAGCACCAGATTTGCTTCTGTTACGTCTCCCAGTTACAGTCATCCCTCTCTTATCTGCAGTTTCGTTTTCCACGGTTTCAATTCCCCACTGTCAACCACTGTTTGAAAATATTACATACAATAAAATACTTTGAGAGAAAGGCACATTCAGACTTTTATTACCTTATAGTTATAATTGTTTTAGTTTACTATTAGTTATTCTTAATCTCTTTCTGTGCCTGATGTATGAATTAAACTTTATCACAGGTGTGGATGTAGTACAGGAAAAACCATAGTCTATACGAGGGTTCTGCACTGTCTGCAGTTTCAGGCATCCACTGAGGGTCTGGGAACGTATTTCCTGAGTATAAGCGGGGAGACTACTGTACTGTTCCTGGACACTTGCAGAATGGAATTACACAATCCTAATACTTTAAGGTCTCACAATTATCCAGTCTAACACCCTATTCTTCCCTCCCTCCCTTCCCTTCCTTCCTTTTTCTTTTTCTTTTTTTTTTTCTGAGACAGAGTCTTGCTCTATCACCCAGGCTGGAGTGCAGTGGCGCCATCTTGGCTGACAGCAACCCCCGTCTCCCGGGTTCAAACAATTCTCCTGCTTCAACCTCCTGAGTAGCTGGGATTACAAGTGCCAGCTACTATGTCCAGATAATTTTTGCTTTTTTTTTTTTTTTTTTTTTTGAGATGGAGTCTCGCTCTGTTGCCCTGCTGGAGTGCAGTGGTGCAATCTCGGCTCACTGCAACCTCCGCCTCTTGGGTTCAAGTGATTCTCCTGCCTCAGCTTCCCAGCACACGCCACCATGTCCAGCTAATTTTTATATTTTTAGTAGAGACGGGTTTTCACCATGTTTGCCAGATGGTTTCGATCTCCTGATCTCGTGATCCACCCAACTCAGCCTCCCAAAGTGCTGGGATTACAGGCCACTGCGTCCAGCCTTATAATTTGTGTATTTTTAACAGAGGCGGGGTTTTGCCATGTTTCCCAGGCTAGTCTCGAAATCCTGGCCTCAAGTGATCTGCCCACCTTGGCCTCCCAAAGTGTTGGGATTATAGGTGTGAGCCACCATGTCTGGCCCAGTCTAACCCTTTCATTTTAAGGAGACTAAGGCCAAAGGAGTTGAAGGTCCTGTAGCAAGCTTGTGGCAGGGATGGACCTAGATCCAAGTGTAGCCCCCATCATGATGTTCTCTCACCACCACAGTCTCTAGGGCCAGACCCATTCTGCTGAGCTCAGGCAGCCAGCATATGGGTTACATGTGTCTCACGTGAAAGAAAGGGCTAAAGGCAATAAAGCAAGGTCCTCTAAAGTCACTCACCTTCTCAAAAGTACCCAGCAGTACATGGCAATGGCCAAAATACTCTGAAAGAAACAAAGGCATGTGAGTGAAGAAGCCCAAACAGTACATCTTGAAGCCCATGACCTTTTCCAATTCCCTGAAAGCCGGCAAACCAAATGTGCCAGTTTGTCCCTAGAAGGGACATGTTATATAACCCATACTTTTTTTTTTTTTTTTTTGAGACAGGGTCTTGCTCTGTTGCCCAGGCTGGAGTGTGGTGGCACAATCTTGGCTCATTGCAGCCTCCACCTCCCAGGTTCCAGTGATTCTCCTGCCTCAGCCTTCCAGGTAGCTGGGATTACAAGCATGAGCTACCATGCCTAGGTAATTTTTTGTATTTTTAGTAGAGTCGGTGTTTTACCATATTGGCAAGGCTGGTCAACATGACCTCAGGCGATCTGCCCACCTCAGCCTCCAAAAGTGCTAGGATTACAGGCATGAGCCACCACACCTGGCTAAACCACACTTTTTGAGACAGAGTCTCACTCTTTTGCCCAGGGTGAAGTGCAGTGGCACAATCTTGGCTCACTGCAACCTCCCCACCTTCTGGGTTCAAGCGACTCTCCTGCTTCTGCCTCCCAAGTAGTTGAGATTACAGGTATGAACTGCCATGCCCAGCTGATTTTGTATTTGTATTTTTTTTTTTTGAGACGGAGTTTCGCTCTTGTTACCCAGGCTGGAGTGCAATGGCACGACCTCGGCTCACTGCAACCTCTGCCTCCTGGGTTCAGGCAATTCTCCTGCCTCAGCCTCCTGAGTAGCTGGGATTACAGGCACGCGCCACCATGCCCAGCTAATTTTTTTGTATTTTTAGTAGAGACGGGGTTTCACCATGTTGATCAGGATGGTCTCCATCTCTTGACCTCGTGATCCACCTGCCTCGGCCTCCCAAAGTGCTGGGATTACAGGCTTGAGCCACCGCGCCCAGCCTGATTTTGTATTTTTAGTTGAGATGGGGTTTCACCATGTTGCCCAGGCTGGTCTTGAACTCCTGATCTGAGGTGATCCACCCACCTCCACCTCCCAAAGTGCTGGGATTACAGCTGTGAGCTACTGCACCCAGCCAAACCAACACTTTTCACATCAGCTCAGGAGCTTGAAGTCACAGATGTGAGAGGATGCAGAGACTGCCTGACCCACAGTCACAAATATCCATAAAGAAGGCATGTTATTCTGGGCCACAGCTGCTTCCAGGAATATGCCACAAAAGAGCAGTGTTGCCCAGCCATAGAGGACAGAAATCGCCCCTACCGTCTCCTTCATCTATCACGGCATGTACCACTAGAGGGTAAACCTCTCGGTCCAGATCAAAGCCAAGCTGAAGGGAAAGAAAAGGAAAGAAAAAAAAAAAAAAGAAGAGGACTTAACACTTTCAGATGGCACAGTTAATCTCAGAAAGGGCGATACAGTCAAGAAGCATTAATCTCATCTCTGCTTCTCATTCATCAGCTTTATTAATTACCCAAATTTGTTAATTGAGGGCCATCGGTTTCTTTTTAAAAATCTCATAGATGTAAATAAAGCCCTCTAACCTATAGGTTTTTTTTTCCTGGAGCATGACTTTCTCAAAGTATCCCAGGCTAATGTGCTATTTGGAATAGAAAAATTAATTAAGTTAGGTATATCCTTGATGCAAAATAAGCAGAGCTTTAAAAGGACATGAAGTCACAAGGCTGAGAGGTAAGCATGGCCTTCAAGCGTCTGAGCAGCCCCTTTGCTGTCGGCTGGAGTCCTAAGTAGCCCGTTGGCCCTTCTGAGTTGATGTGGGAAACGCTCCCCAGAGGCGGCTCACCTCCTCTTCGGCCCACTCGGAGGGATCCACAGTGTGGGAGGGAAGGCAGAACTGCTGACACACTCCTCGCTTGTAGTGCACAGTCTCCGACTGGAGGCTGTTGTCTTTGGGAATGTAGCTATTGATACAAGTGGGAGGCAAAGGAAAAGTCAGTATCCGGCACAGATGGGTCTGACAACTTCCTCTGTTCATGCCTGCTCTCAATTATCAACAGGCTCTAGCAAAGAGAAGAAAGGGTCCTTTATAATACATTTCCTTTGCTCTTGCTTGGCAATATTAAACTTTTCTATTCAACCTACACATCCAAAGAAAAGTAGCTTACTCGATTTTTAACAGCATGTTAAGGACCGGAAGGACTATCCACCATTTGCCACTATACCAAGATGGCATAATTTGAAGGGAAAAGACAGAGTAAGGCTTTGTAGAAGAAAATCTAAATTCAGGAACCAGGTCTCATCTGGGTGCAGAAAAGGAATGTTTTCTGCTCTTGCTGAGTAGATAAGACATGGACTCTGCCTATCTGGGAAGACGTGGCTCACCTGGTCTCCTGATCTTACCTGGCAATACCGTTCTGGAACTCTTCCATAGCCTGATAATAGATGGTGATGGCTACCCGAGCATCCGTGTCAAAGGTGAACTCAACATTGTAGTGGACTTTAGCTTTGCTGGCCTCTTCTCCAGGGCTCTTCACTTCCTCAGCACATCTAGAAAACCAGAGACTCAGCATTTGCAGGATAGCATATCGACGTTTTAAAATTTACCTTTTTTTTTTTTTTAATTTAGCAATATATTGTGGACTTCTCTAGATGATCGTAAGCATAGGTCTACCCTTCATTCTGAGTGATCACAGAGTACTTTGTGATCAACATTGCTGGGCATTTAGGTTGCTTCCGATATTTCACAGTGCTACTATTACACCATTGTGCACTTGTCACTTTTGTTTTTATTTCAATAAAAGTTATTAATTACACAGTTTAAATAGTTTCCTCAAGACAAAAACAGCAGGCCTTACTTCTTTCCTTTCCTTCTCTTCAGAGGACATCCCTTTTAGTGATCATTTTGTCATTTACCCACGTTCCTAAAAAATATATTTGGGTTACGACTTCTTGATTTTTCAGTTTCAGGCACTATCTATTGATTTCCTACTATGGAAACAAGGATTTCTCTTTCCTCACTCTGCTCCATATATGAACTCCCCCATGCCCACAGTATAGCTGCATCGTGATTTTATTATAATAGTCCAGTACATTCATGTCTGCATTATTGTGATTATATCAACATATAATCTACGATTATTTTTCTTTTCCTGCATAACTTTTTCTTTTTTATTTTCTTTTTCTTTTTTGCTTTTTGCATAACTTTTTCTTAGTGCTCATCCTGTTTTCTTTCTTCAGTTGCATAGCTTTCTATGTACGTATCACAAATTCCAACCAAGGCTCTCAGGGACTGTCTAAGTCTCTCAAGATGTTCAGATGCACCAGGTGGTCTATTCATTTTGTCTTCTTGAGGAGGTCCCTTCTGGAGTCCTCGGACTTGCTCCCATCTGTACTTGGCCCGCTGCACCTGGCTTCTAGCTGCCACCCTGGAATCTCTCCCCCTCCATCATCCTGGTGGGTCCCTTTGGCCTTTGTCCTCCTGTAGAAGATCGTGTTTCCTGCACCTCAGGTCTTCCTCTGTCTTGGGTTATTGGTAGGGCACGTTTTCTACCAGCTTCCTGAAAGAGGGTGTGTTGGGAAATAAACTTCTTGAAAGCTTTTATTCAACACTCACACTCCCCTGAAAGTTTGGCTGAACAAAGAATTCTAGATTATAAATAATTTCTAAAAGATACCGAAAGCCGCCGGGTGCGGTGGCTCAAGCCTGTAATCCCAGCACTTTGGGAGGCCGAGGCAGGTGGATCACGAAGTCAAGAGATTGAGACCATCCTGGTCAACTTGGTGAAACCCCGTCTCTACTAAAAATACAAAAAATTAGCTGGGCATGGTGGCGCGTGCCTGTAGCCCCAGTTACTCAGGAGGCTGAGGCAGGAGGATTGCCTGACCCAGGAGGCGGAGGTTGCAATGAGCCGAGATCGCACCATTGCACTCCAGCCTGGGTAACAAGAGCAAAACTCCGTCTCGAAAAAAAAAAAGATACTGAAAGCCTTTTCACTGCCTTATTTTTCACCTTCCAGCATTGTTCCCAAGAAGTCTGAAGCTGTTCCAACTGCTGGTCCCTCTTCTGAAAGCTTATGAAAGTTCCTCTTTCTCATCCACTATATGGGCACTTGGAGGTCCTTTCCCTTTAGAAACTTGTACCCTCTGGTTCTGAGAAATTTTCTTAAATTCTATGTGATTGATGATTTCCTTTTTAAATTATTTTTAAGATGGAGTCTTGCTCTGTCACCAGGCTGGAATGCAGTGGTGCAATCTCAGCTCACTGCAACCTCCACCACCCAGGATCAAGTGATTCTCCTGCCTCAGCCTCCTGAGTAGCTGGGACTACAGGTGCAAGCCACACGCCCAGGTAATTTTTTTGTATTTTCAGTGGAGACGGGGTTTCACTGAGTTGGCCTCGATCTCCTGATCCTGTGATCCACCTGCCTAGGCCTCCCAAAGTGCTGGGATAACAGGCATGAGCCACTGTGCCCAGTCCCATTTCCTTCCTTTTATATTCTCTTTTCTCTGCAGAATCCGTTAGTTGAATGTCAGAACTTCTAAATGGATGCTCTATTACTTGCTTTTTTCTTCTTCTATTTTACTTTTCCCTGGATTTTTGTTCTACTTTCTAGAATATTTCAAGTTTTCTTCCTACCATTCTATTGAAATTTTCATTTCTGCTCCTCATTTTTAATTTTTTTTTGAGACAGAGTCTTGCTCTGTCACCAGGCTGGAGTGCAGTGGCATAATCTGGGCTTACTGCAAACTCTGCCCCCCTGGTTGAAGCGATTCTCCTGCCTCAGCCTCCCGAGTAGTTGGGACTACAGGTGCGTGCCACCATGCCCAGCTAATTTTTGTATTTTTAGTAGACACGGGGTTTCACCATGTTGGCCAGGATGGTCTCGAATTCTTGACCTTGCGATCCGCCTGCCTTGGCCTCCCAAAGGCTGGGATTATGAGCGTGAGCCACTATGCCTGGCCTCCTTGTTTTTAATTTCTAAAAGCTATTGTTTTTGGTTCATAAACACTTTGTGTCATTGAGATTTCTTCTGTCATGTCTCTGAAACTATTAATGAAGTTTTCTTCTTTCTGCATAGTTTTTGTTTCCAATTAGATGGGTTTTTTTAACTTTATTATTATTTTATATAGAGATGGGGGTCTCACTATGTTGCCCAGGCTGGTCTCAAACTCCTGGGCTCAGGTGATCCTCCTGCCTTGGCCTCCCAAAGTTCTGGGATTACAGGTGTGAGCCATCATACCTGGCCTAGTTGGGTCATTTTAAAACATTTGCTTGTTTTGCCACCGTCTTTCCTATTATAGTCATTCCTTACACATCTAAGAATCTGTGGCTGTCTGCTTATATTTAAGGTATTTAAACTGCTGATTAGAGTTCTGAGTGCACAGCAGGACTTGGGGACCCTGAGCTTCACTACGGGCTGACCTGGATCTGTTGAGGAACCTCCAACTCTAGTCTCAGGTTTTCCTATCTCCAGAAAACGGTTTTCCTCTCTCTTGATAAAGGCCTGGCTGTCAGCATTCTAGGGGCAGTGTGGAGAGGCAGCCAGGGGGCTCAACACCCAGTATGCCAGGATCTACTTACCCCGTTTTGTTTTCTTGAGATAGTCACTTTTACCCAGGCTAGAGTACAGTGGTGTGACAGTGACTCATTGCAGCCTCAACCTCCCGGGCTCAGGTGACCCTCCCACTTCAGCCTCCCAAGTAGCTGGAACCACAGGTGTGAACCACCACACTTAGGCTAATTTTTGTATTTCTTGTAGAGACAGGGCTTTACCATGTTGCCCAGGCTGGTCAGCCTGTTTTTAGCACTGAGTCTGGCCCTTAGCCATGCCCAGGTCTCTCTTTTCCAGAGATTCTCTGTTTTGACCTTTCCAAGGAGAGTTATCTGCCTGCCTTTTGCCAGGGTGAAGGAAGGTAGTTCTGGCTGTGTGGTACAAGGGAGGGGATCTGCCTACCTCACAGGCAGACTGTCCACCAATCCTCTTCATTTTAGCTTTCCATCTCAACTTCTAGAGGGACCTGGTACCGTTAATTTCTGAACCCTTTGGGGGATAATATCACAGTATAAATTGGGTAATTTCTCAGCTTTTCTTTCTGCTAGCTCAGGATTCTGATTTCCTTGGTCTACTAAGTCATTTAATATGCACTCTGTGTTTCCAGCTTCTAAAATTTTGTTGCTCTTGCTCTTTTCCCATTCTCCAAACAAATACTTAGAGACTTATGCGGTTTTTTTTTTTTTTTTTAGATGGAGTCTTACTCTCTCGTACCCAGGGTGGAGTGCAGTGGTACAATCTCAGCTCACTGCAACCTCTGCCTCCCGGTTCAAGCGATTCTCCTGCTTCAGCCTCTGGGGCAACTGGGATTACAGGCGTGTGCCACCATATCTGTCTAATTTTTGTATTTTTAGTAGAGATGGGGTTTCACCATGTTAGCGAGGCTTGTCTTGAACTCCTGACTTCAGGTGATCTGCCCACCTTGTCCTCCCAAAGTGCTGGGATTACAGGCATGAACCATTGAGCCCGGCCAGATTTATGCCATTTAAATATACGTGTATTATTGCTTAATGGGGTTTTGAGGGAAAGCAAAAGTAGGTATTCAATCCTCCATCTTTACCTGGAAATCTGAGAATCAGAATTTATTTCCATAATCACAGAAAAACAAAATAAAAAACGCCCTTCAATTTAACATTTATGGAACATCAGGTGTTTTCCCTTTTGTTATCTTAATTTTGACAACCACCATGAAAGGGAAAGTTGATTATCACCAGTTTACAGATTAAAATCACGCCTATAATCCCAGCACTTTGGGAGGCCAAGGTGGGTGGATCACAAGATCAAGAGATCGAGACCAACCTGGTCAACAAGGTGATACCCCATCTCTACTAAAAATACAAAAATTAGCTGGGCATGGTGGCGCGCACCTGTAGTCCCACCTACTCGGGAGGCTGAGGCAGGAGAATTGCTTGAACCCAGGAGGCGGAGGTTGCAGTGAGCCGAGATCGTGCCATTGTACTCCAGTCTGGGTAACAAAAGCGAAACTCCGTCTCAAAACAAACAAACAAACAAAAACCTGAAGCTCAGACACTCATTCAAGCGAGCATCTGTGGACCTGGGAAGCAAATGGCTCTGCTGCTTCCAAGTCTGGTTCTTCTAGCACATGACAGCTCCTTCACCCTACTCTAGAGCTGTGGCCAGGCTGCCACAGCAGAGGCTAGGACCTCAGAGCAGCTCAGACCCTTGAACTGTCTCCATCAAATGTGTAAGCATGCCGTATGTGATGAGAGAAACCAAGTGGATGGAGTAGCTGGCAGCTGGCAGGCCCCAGAGGCCTCGTTAGTCTGCTCGGCTGCTAGATGAACTCCCGTGGGTGGAGTGGGGGGACTGTTCTGCAGTAGATGGGTACCTCCTTGGCTCTCTCCTCCCCAGAGTTGACCCTGGGGTGGAGAGAAGTATAGCTGGGGAACCAGTAAAAACTTCAGGGACAAATAAAACATAAAAAATTAATAGAAACAGAAAATAGATTAGTGGTTACTTAGGGTTGGGAGGAGCGTTTGAGCCTGGGAAGTCAAGGTTGCAGTGAGCCAATTGTGCCACTGAGCCAATTGTGCCACTGTGCTGCAGCCTGGGTGACAAAGCAAGACTCTGTCTCAAAAAAAAAAAAAAAAAAATCAGACAGCAACATCATAATGCTAATAAGGCTGATCTATATAAGCATGAGATGGTCTCTGAGTCATCTTCCTTGTCTATTCAGAAAAATCTGGGACCTCTGATTTGCCCTAACCAAATTTTTTCCCCAGGGAATCAGAGAGCCTTAGTAGATAAACTGTCTAGGGGTGGCAGGTGATGGGAATGTATCAGATTAAAAATTACACTGTCTTGAGGAGGGCACCAAGAAGGCAAATGATGATAATTAACACTGATGATGATGATTAAATGACTAACCCAGGGCACTATGAATTCCTCAGAGAACAGACACATGAGATGGGGAGTAAAAAAGAAATAGAAAATATAAGCAATTAAATAAAGGATTTGATATTCTAAGTTCAAATTTCCCATTTTTACATTGGCTTGCTGGAGTAGCTGCAAAAATTCCCATTTTCTCTTAATCACTCTTCCCGTTAAAAAAAATCCATAAAATAAGGATAATGAACATTTCTAGGCAAGTGAAAGTTCTTCACAAACAGAGCATTGCATCCAGTGCTAACAGCATGGGTGTGGACAGCCTGATCTCAACAGAAAGTAGCACCCACACTTCTGCCTGATGCCTGGAGGAGCAGGCTCTGGGGCTGCCGGAAACTGCTGTGTGAGTTCCTTGGGGAGTCTGTCCCTCAGCCCCCAACCTCCTACAAAGGAAAGTGCCTGGGACCTGGCCCCAGCCTCCGGGAACTTACCTGACGAGCCTCAGTGTGTCCTTTCGGATATTGACCAGGCTTCTCAGTGTCTTCACGGGTTCTTGGGGAGGTGGGGCGGCGTAAGGAAACTGTGTCAGAAACAAAGCAGGAGAAGATGGTGTGTTTATAAAGACCCACAACTGTCCCTCACTGTTACAGGGCTTTACAGTTCACCAAGAACAGCCCTAAGAGGTGAGGCAGGAAGGCACAACTCTCCAAACTAAGTGAGGAAACTGAAGCTCTGACATACTGAGTCAACTTGCTCAAGGTCACAGCTAGTCGGAAAACTGGGATTCAATCTGGGGCCCAAAGAGCTAGATTTCTCTTCTTTTTCCATTATATGAAGCTTATTTGGGTCAGTGTTCAAAAGTTGGAGAATTAATTAAAAAACCACTGAAGTTCCAAATACCAAAGGACACACTGTGGCCGAGTTAATCACAAAAGGCTTTTCCATGTGACCTCAGACGAAAGGGAGCCAGACCTGCAAGCCCTTTCCTTCAGTGAAGCCATATGGCATCCCAGGAATTTAGGGACTGCAAATAAAAGAGAACCCTATCATGTGTACCGAGCCGAAGTTTGCAAACAGTAAAGAACAAATTTCCCCTGCAGCTGACCATATAAAGCAGAGCTCTTTAACATGCGAGCCAAGAGTTATTTTGGGGTCACCAAAGGTTTATGTTGTCTTCATCATTTACCATCCACTTTCTCCCCTTTACCTGTTTAGATCTTTGGATTTGAAATTCTGAGTTGATGATAATGAAGAGATAAAGAAAGGGGAAACAGCCAAAATGTCACTGGAAATTGCCTTCTGAAGATCAAGAATGATTTCAAATATTCCCAGTATTTTTATAATGTTATTTGGGCAATCAAAATGTTTTAACATATAATTCCCAAAAAACCTACTGGTCTCTGCAGCTTTGCAAAACTGTGGTTCTCTTGGCTCAAGAAGAGTCTGCCTCCAGAGTGAGGTATCAGAAAACAGGACAGGCAAGTTATAATCTAACTGCCTTCACAGATTTTTATTGAATATGGTTATTTTACTTGGGAAACAATAAAGTTAAATCACAATTAAGGTGCGTCCAACTTTACATATGCAGTATGATTGCTTATAACTCACATGTATGGATGTGACTCTTACATTTAATAGAAATTACTTACATTCAGATTACCCACTTTGTGGGTATTAGGTAGTAATTTACTTTTTCATTGATCTATTAACCATACATTCTTTTAAAAATGATAGTTTTTTCTAATTACAATTTCTGCTTAAGCAGAAAATGTGAAAAACACAAAAAAGTACAAAACTATCCCTAATTTTACTACTCAGCAATACCAGAATTAACACTACAGAATATGTATCTCCGTCCGTCCATCCATCCATCCATCCACCTCTATATCTAGGTGTTGTGTTGTAGCAGGAGCAGCCCTGGGAAATGGATCTCTCGGACATGAATACAGGAGGAAGAAGTTTATTTGGCCGGGAGCAAGGTGGCATAGTTGCCTAACAGCCAAGCTCTCCTAACAAAGGAAGGTTCCTTCTTTATATCTATAGGCTTATACTTTAGATGTTACACGTGGAAGAATCTTAGGTTTATAGCTTAACATATGAAAAGGGTCTTGGTTTACAGTCTCAGGAATTACATATGAAAAGGGCTTTGGTTTACAGTCTTAGGAATGAAAAAGGGGAAGTTTACAGTCTTAGGAAAAAGGGGAAGTTGATCTGAGATGCCTGGGTCTCCCTCTTCAGTTTCAAACTGAACATACTATTTTGCAGTTTCTTTTTCACTTAAAAAGATGGTGGTAAACATTTTTAAAGTCTATAATTTTGAAAACACGCTGATTAACAGCACACTTTAATCAATTCCATATTATTCAACATTTTATGGTGGTTTTACCTTTTTTTTGCTGCTATAAATGTTGTGGTGAATATCCTCGTTCCTATATTTCTGCATGCTTGTTTGATTATTTCCTTAGGACAAATTCCTAGAAGTGGAATTACTTGATCAAAGGGTACGCATATTTGTAAGACTTTTAAAATTATTTTGCCAAATTGTTTTCCACAAAGCTGACTCCAACTTTGCCCTCCTGCAAGCAGTACATCAGGAGGCCTTGACATGGGAGAACTGAAACTCTAGTTCAGATCCCATCTGTGGCCCGTTTCTCCTCCCCCAACTTTCCTAGGCTGTCATACTAAAGGAATTTAAAACAATTTTTAAATAAGCTTAAGCAAAAAGTAATTAGGCAGGAAAATCCGACACAAATGCTAGTCTATTCTAAAGCCAAAATAAATGACTTTGGGATTAAAATTTTTTTCGGGAGTAGCAAAGTTAATCATTTTCAATTTGTACAGGTACTTGGGAGTTATCCGTAACTCCTACCTGCATTTCAGAAAAAAAGATGTGTCCTTTCCCTTATTCTTTAGTCTTTCTCCTCCAATAGCTACCCCCTGCTGCAAAAGAGAGAAACATAAAAAGAAAGAAAGAAAAAAATCCCAGCACTCTTCATCCTCCATTTTGAATATTACCTTGGATGATAACTGTGGCAATGAAACATAAACTATTTGGCTCTTAAGGAAACATATCAATGAGCTCAATTGTGAATAAATCCACCCCTACACTTTAGGCTCTCCCTACACACACACACACACACACACACAATGGCAAATCTGTTGAGGAGAACCTTGCTCGTGGGCTGCTACCTACCAAAGTTTGTGGCTTGGTGGCGTTTCATTCATGCAATCAGAGTCTACATGCAACATTCCATGCTAGGTGTAAGGAGAGATTTAAAACAAAGAAGATAAGGCCCTGCTCTTTCAGGAAGCTGCGTTATAAGGCAACTGACATAGTAATTGTAATACCAAAGAGATTAAAAATATTAACATTTTGCCACCAAAGTAAAAAATAAAGGAAGTCATCACTTCTGGCTGAGGTAATCTGAAGGCTTCACAGAGGAGGTGGTACTTGATCTGGGATCTTAAAAGGATAAATGAAGGGGGGCAGTAGGATCAGAGGCAAATTGAAGAAAATACTTTTCTGCTCTTAGAGTTGTCTCCCACTCTTCCGTAAATCGATTTTGCCTACCATTACTCTCTAAATTTCTTAGTGAGTTTCTTCCTTTTACAAATGACCATTTATTGAGTGCTTACTATTGATGACAGTGGTTGGCCGCTGCAGGGAGGGTGTAGGGAGCAGGCAGACAGCCCCTCCACAGCCTGCTGCTCTGGGGGCCCCCACGGGGCTGGCTGGGTTACCCACCATCAGAGGAGCAGAGCGGCAGGAGGGCAGCTCCATAGGGCAGAGAGGAGCCCCGAGGCGGAGGCAGAACTGGGCCTGGGGCAGTACGATGCTTGCACAGGGAGCCCAGGGCTGGGCCTGGGCACAGAGCTGGGGCCACATTTCAGGGGCCCAGGGCAGGAAGTGGGAGCAGCCCCCACTTCAGGGACCTGGCCAGCAGTGTAGCCACTGTGGCCACCCTGCCGAGGGTGCCAGGTTCCTGTGCCTCAGGAGGAGGCTTTGCGCAGGCCGTCTAGGGCTGCGTCCCTGGGTCTGCTCCACATCATGGTGACCACTGAGCCTGACACTCCGATGGCCCGGCCCAGGCCCGTGATCCACTCTGCTGCAGGCTGCCCCTGAAGTGCCAGGGCAACAGGGGGAGCTCATGGTGATGTCACCCTGCCCCGACACCAACCCAGTGAGGACCTGGAGCCCCTGCCTGGGGCTGCAGCCATCCAAGTCAGGGTTGTGGACCTGGGCCTCCATAAGCTCTTGGAGACATGGGAAGGCCTGACCCCACCCCTCAACTGGCTCAGAAGTGACTGCTCCAGCTGCCTGGCTCCTGCCTGCTGTTGGTGCTGGCTCTGATCTCTGAGCAATGTGGGCTGGGAGTGTACATGCAGGCTATGCAGCTCCCTGCTGCCTCGGCTCCCTCTAGACTTAGGGCCCTGATGAGCATGGGGGAAGATGGGGGAGCCAAAAAGGTACTTAGGGCACCTTGGTGCTGGTCTTCAGGGAAGGCCTAAAGGCCGGAGACCTGGCTACCAGTCTCATCCACTGGAGTGGGAACTTGTGGTGCCATTTCTGGGCCTGTCCATGGCTGGCCATGGAGCAGTCTACCTGCACTTCCTCCCCTCTGAGGCCCATAGAAGCCTGGGCTCAGCCAGAACAGAGCAGAGGTTGGGACCACCATCTACAGAGAGAAGCAACCTATGCCAGGGCCTCCTGTCTGCTGAGAGCTGGGGAGACGATGGGACAACCTGGCTGCAGAGAGGAGCAACCCATTCCAGGGCCTCCGTTCTACTGAGAGTTGCAGAGAAGACAGGATGACCTTCCTACGGAGAAGAGCTTCCCACTCCAGGGTCTCTCTGCTAGGACACGTGTAGGGACACCTTGGCTGCAGAAAGGAGCTACCCACTGTGGGTTTCCTCTGACTGTTCTATCGCTCAATAAGGCTCCTCTTTGTCTTGCTCACCCTCCATTTGTCTGCATATCTCATTCTTCCTGATTGCAGGACAAGAACTAGGGACCCATCAAATTGTGGGATTAAAAGAGTTGTAACGCAAACAGGGCTGAAACATGGTCCTTGCTCGTCATGTTGCGGGCAAAGAGGAGAGAAGAACTGTGGCCCTTCAGGGAGCCCAGAACTGGGAGCTCCCCGAGCCAGGGTTGTAACTTATTCTTTGTGGCCCTGTGGTTCTTGGTGTCTCCAAGCTTCCAGGAGCCACTGCATTCCCTGGTGCCAGCTGGGAGAGTGGCTTGCAGTGCACCTGGTCTACCCACAGCTGGCACCCACCTGGCACCTGAGGCTGCCAGCCCCATGGCAGCAGCCAGTATGTCTGCTTGTACAGTGGCCAGACCCCACTCTTGCTCACATACCCCTTGCAGCTCCATGCCTGACTTGCAGTCTCCCTTAGAGGCGTGGGATATAGGCTGGTAGTGTGAGCTGGGTGTAGCCTGTCAGGCCAAGTGGGTGGAACAAGCCCAGCGGGCCTGAGCCAAACCTGTGCAAGGCACTGCTGGCCACGGTTTCCAGCCAGAAAAGCGACACCCCAAAGATCCCATATCACTATGTGCCAGCCACTATGCCGAGCCCT